TTCTTGGATAGGGATAAATCTCAATTTTGGTGACCAGGGGTCATGATGGCCATTGACAAACAGCGTATAAGGTTCTTCACTACCGATGGATTTAGATAAGGGTTAAACCATCTCCGAATGATGTGAAACTTCGGGGTAAGAAATATAATACCTCAAGTATGAACCCCTGAAAGTTTCATATTAATCCCAAACATTTGGGGGCATCAGCCAAGTCATATCTTAACAGTCAATGAATGCAGATGTTATGTTAAGCCAACTCCAAATGATGCCCAAATTGTATAATTCTTGGATTTAGAGGCATATGAGGCCCCATGGAATATTTGCAAAGACACACATCATCGTGATATCATATGGTGAGGTTTTCTTTATGCTCTGCCTGTCAAACACTTTATCCTTAGCCGACGATGGACTTAAAAGCATTGTACCACATCAAAACTCCTATGACATCATTTGGAGAGGCGTACATGGGTCATGGGAGTATATGTGTCCTAGAGTTTGTCTTGAATTGATATGGCTTAATGGTCTCTTATGATCGATCATTAGTCATGATGCACATGTGTAACCGATGATAGATTAGGAAGTGTATATTTCTGAGTCATATTCGTCTCGTATCATGTGGAGAAGCATATATTGGCTTTAGGAGTATATGCATCCTAGAATATATCTCACATAGAGATGGTTTGATATCTGCTATCATCAATTGTTAGTCAAGATGAATATACATGACCGACATCAAATTGGAAAGTATGTCATACCACATCCAATTCTTCCAATATCATGTGGAGAGGCATATATATGAGTATTAGGATATATGTATTCTAGTATTTGTTGCGTATTAAGGTTGACTTCTCTCATTATCATTGGTCATAAGTCGGGACATATATGGCTTGACAGATGAACAGGGCTCTAAAGGCATATTGAGGCCTTCGTATAATGAGTCTTTGGCATATCATATTCTTCATGTCACATTAGGGGTATATCTTTGCAAATATCTTCAAGAGTTGTGCCCATTGAGCTTGCATACTTTTATTTGACTTTTGTCAAACACTTGTCTTATAATTATGCCTATAATTTATTACGCTTTTGTTAAAATGTACTTAGTCTCTCATGGTGACTAAAAATACACCCAACAAAAGTGCCTCGGGCGTTACACGCGTGGGAGAATCCCAAAAGGCGTGTGACATCTAGTGATTTGGGTGGATTATCGACATTCTTTTATTTCTTTCATTTTGGCTATGCATGCATGTCTCAATCCTCTCAAGAATTTCTTCATTCTAGGAGCCTTGGATTAATAGTGGAACAGACACCTATCAAGTTGCCATTCTCAAAAAAAACGTCATTATTATCCAACATTCTTCAAGAGATCGCCTCATTGGCTTTCATATTGAAGCTATAAATATCCGTTATCCGTGAGAACTCAACCGACACCTCATCATGAGTTTCCTAAACCCAAAATTTCCTCATCAGCTCTCTATCTCTCTAAATCTTGTACTTAGTGCTGCTATTATGTGGAGCATGGACCATATCATAGACATTCCCCGGCTGCTATGGGCGTAGAGGGCAGCTTCCAATTTTCGGGTTGTCGACCAAGTCACTTCTTCCTCTGAAGATTTTGAGCAAGGGGTTCATGAGGCTGCCTCAAAGGCTGAGAGTGACAAAGACCTTGATCTTAAAACCTAAGGGAATTGGTGAAGAAGCTCCGCGTGAATTTGAGCACAATCAACATATGTCCGGATATTACAAGGGCGAGGCTGACCATGCTTAAGAAACCCTCTCCTTAGTCTAGCGAAAGGTGGCCAGGATCTCCAAACTGATCTGCATCAGATGTAGAAAATAACTCAAGCCAACAGATTGCAATGAGGATACCTCAACCTACGGTTGCCACCAGATGCAAGAGATTCCATACATTTAGCGTTCCATGAGAGGATGTTGGATTCCAAAAAAGCGGATGGCCATGGAGGCATGGAGCTACTTCCTCAACCTACTCGAGGACAAGGAAGTAAGTGTCTTCACTTTTTTCTCGACTTCCTTTCCTTGATGAGGTAGCTTTCTTACTTACTGTCATGCAATAGGTGACCTGACTCCTTGCAGTGGCGCCTAGAGTGGATGAGCCACGAGCATCTTCTTGGCACCTCGTGTCTTCTTGGTCTGTGGTAGGCTTGTAGAGCCTTATCTTCGAAGTGGCTGCTTCACGAAAACGGCCATCTTCAAGCCACGCTACCATATGTTCAGACGTTCCAATACTCGGACATTATTTCATATAAGTCAGCACATCACCTAAAGCACTTTATTGCTACATCAGCTTCATATAAGTCAACACAATACCTACTAGCACTTTACTACGATATCTTCCCCCACCAGATTGGAATGGAGTTGACTATAATTGTGATGGTCATGCTAGGGTATCCTGAGTATTTATGCACTTGTATCTTAGAACTTTGTGGACATGTCATATATCTTAGAGCTTTGTGCACATGTCATGGAGCTGAGGATTGCACTCCATTAGCAGCCGACCTCGAAGTCCAATAGTGAGGCTTCGATTGGCTAGTCTCACCGCAAGGCATGGCGGGTTACGACACATATTGAGCTAAAGGTCTGCAGAAAGTGTGATCAATTGTGTGCGGAGGTGGATCAATTGAGCTAGCAGAGTGGTGCGAGCAACAAACTCCATATCTCATCAATAGTCGATATCCTTATTTACTCTTGCTTTCATATCTCCTTTTTTGTCTGGATTTCTCTTACTTACGTGCCATCCTAAATGTACTAAATCATGACTCCAAAATATGAAGAAATAGCAATACATCAAAAAAAACGAATCATACTCTGGCAAAGGGCTTCTTTACTATACTGATACTTACAGTTCGAGTGTACTTGTACTTAACCTTGTTCCTTTACATCCAACCTAACATCGCAATTGAAATACTTCTGTGTACTCGAATGTTCGACTTTTTAAGAGTACAGTGAGAAGAAAAAAAGAAAATATGGACATATTTGTGTCCATAAACTTATAGAGAAGTTCATTCCTCCTTGCCTCCTATGGTGTCTGTTCAAGCATCAGTGTGGTTCTATCGTATCTATCTAGAACTTGGGTGTAATTTCTCTCTTCTCGTAAGGATCAAAGTGTTGTATATTGCTCATCATCTTCTCTATATTCCAAAATGTTTAGAATCCTCTTCAAATTCAAAGTTCCTTTTTTTATCAAGATATCTTCAGTTTGAAGGAGTATCCTTCTGATACTAGGGAAATAATGCTTCCCAACCACCAACCATTGAAAGCTCTAGTTCTGGGGTTAAGATGCATATGTACATCTAAAAATATCAAATATACTCCCACAGGTATCTTGGATGATCTTTTGACTCCGGGGTAGTAATTTCATGCAACGGTTGTATCATAGTATAATGCAACAACTTTCAAAAACCATCTTAAGGCTATTTGTTTGATCGAAATTTTAGAATATACACTCTTTTCATTCTAATGACAACCACAAAAATAAAAATTTAACAACACAATCTAGAATTTTTTTAGCCCAATTAACATAGGCTGTCAATTTTGATAAGATGCTTAGATCTATGCCTTGGAAGGATTTTTTCTTTTTCAAATTTTTTAGATGACTTTATTATCATTAGATGAACAATATTAAAAACGAAAAAAATGATTTTGAGTTTGTAAAGGCTAAGATCTTGAATTTCACCAAATGAATGATCTAAATTCGTTACTAGAGGGGGACTCATTTTGACCATATCTAGAGTTCAAATTGATTTTTCTTTTTTTTTGAGATTCATTATTGAGATGAAGAGAGTATGTGTGTAAATTTTTGGATCATACAAATTCCACAAACATAGTTTTCTAGAAGTGTGGTTGCATTATACTATGATACAACTGTTGCATTAGATCACTGCCCCTCCATTATGGCAATATGCTTATCAATTAATCTTGGATAATTCCCTTGAGCGAGTGCACACGTGCAAGGACACACACGACCACAATCAATGCCATGCTCTCTTACGCGAGAAACATAGTTACGAGATTCTTTTTATGCGAAAATTTTCATGTCTCTTTGCCCGACCCATTCAACTAAGAAACGATTTGGAGGATGGACAAGTTTTGTAGAAATACTGTTGCACATTCTTTGCATGTTTGCAAAAAACAAAATTTCCAAATGTTAAAACGTTTATATATACAGTCCTAGTGAGATTTTAATATGGGATTGAAGAGCAGCACCCACAAAGCCCATTAGAACTGAGAAAGGGCCAAGTGCTGCTCATACTTTTTTCTCATTTTGATAGTTGTGTTAATCGATCCAAAAGAAGATTGCCAAGGGATTTCACGCTCCTGAGGGAACATAACATCTACCTACTCCCTGGGAAGAATCCAATCTAGGAGTATTTTCAGGACCCAAATTTCGGAGATGTAATCTCTTCAGTCCATATGCTGTACTCAATAAAAGGAAATTCCAAATTACATTCTCTATATGCATGAAGTAACTAATGCCTAAAGATTGAATAGAAACCGTCAAAGGTGCCAAGTGTTAGAAAGCCATTTCAACTTTTATTCTTTTTAAGTATAATCATCATCTAGGAGTGTTTAAATGATTCCCAAAATTTCGGATCAATAAAAATCTTTCCTAGGGAACAAGTGTACAGTATGCTCCTACGGGAACATAGCATATACTTCCAAAGGATTGGGAGTCAGGCTGCCCAATAATAATGAATAATAAATAAGAACTGGAAGGGATAAACTTACCAATGAAAATTACGAGACAAAAGAAAGGCAGAAAACAATATAAATGGATATGTGCAAAAACCATGAAAAAGACCAAACAAGAAAAGGAGATCATACGCAGAAAAGAAAGAATTAGCCATAGGAAAAGGAAACGAAACAAAAGCTTTTATCTCAAAGCAATATATAAAGAAGAAATCTCATATTCATTACCGATAATTAGGAACAAATTTGAGATCCTTTGTAGGCAAAAAATAAGTCCAGGCATTTTGACCAGCAACTTCATCAACAGTTTTGTATGAAAATTTTTGATAACTGATAAATAACAAATATACATAACAGTCAAGGCGCATTCCACTTTCCAACCGCAGTTTCAGCAGAATCCAAACGATGACAAAATTCGTGATTTTATCAGCGGAGAGCAACACCAAAAGCTACAGCATTTTGGCCATTGTAGAACATTTAACACAAAACCCATCAAGAAATATTGCCATCTTTGAATCACCCACCACAGATCCCGTAACTGCTGAAATTTCCACTACCAAGAAATTCCCGAGTGATTCATGTTACATGGCAAAGCCCACAGCAACGACTTCCTTGAATGCTCCAACCTACAAAGCAAATGGTACTTAAGGCAGGTAAGTTTACTGCTCACTTCCAATACACCAGAAGATCATTTAGGCCTTCTCTTTCTTTCACGATCTTTTTCTCTCTCTCGGTCCCTGCCCTTATCCCGATCAAAATCCTCTCTCTCGCGACTCTCATTCCTCTCTCGCTCATCATGGGAACCTCGGTCTCTTTCACGATGACGCTCCCGATCCCTGTCTCTGTCAGCCTCATTTTCCCTCTCTCTCTCCCTACTTGATGACTTGCGTTGTGGAGGGCTTCTGCTTTGGCTTCGATGGCGCTTCCTATCATCCCTTCTCTCTCTTCTTTCCAATGAACTCCTCTCTACATTATATCAAGATCTTGTTAGTTAATGCAAAGCTGTGAAATGCCCACAGTAATGTAAGCAGGAAATTTATAGCGGCTAAAGAGCGAGGTTCTAGGAGAATTCAGTCAGGATAAACAGTATACTACAAAATGCAGAGAAGTCAAGGAAAACTGTAGGACAAATGGACAATTTATTAGATTTAATTTTGGACAATACAATCAGGGGAAACCAAGCATGATGAAAGATTGAAACCAATACATGGATGTATATATCCACAAGATAAAAAACTAGAAGAAATTATACATGAATGCATCCACCCGCATGGGATTCCTGCTGCTCCCTGCCTCCCCCCCTCCCTCCCCCCCCCCACAAACACCTCATGAAACAATCCAAATGCATATAATTCACGTAGCCAGAATGGGTAAAGCCAGCAACCAATTGCAAATAAAACAAGGGTCTTTGACTGACCTGATGACCGAGAGAAATGTTTGCTGTTTCCTGAGGCGTCTCCAAAAGAATCCAATAGGCCAAACTCAGACTGTAGACGTCTCCTATGAGCTGCCACTTTCCTCTCAATTTCCTCTGGATTTCTAATACCTCGTTCTTCAAGAGACTCACGGTATTCCATCACAGCAACTTCTAAACTCCTTAGCTTTTGTCTGCAAAACACCAACTCTTATATCAACTAAATGTTTGCCAGAAAGCAGCAGCACTCTATAAACAAACACTAGATCATGATAGGAACAATACAGTGAGTGAAAAGGACCATTCAATTACTGAAAAATACAAACAGAATCAATACTCGAAATTAAAATTACAGGAATAAAATATAACCTGTATTCTTCACTCATCAAACTGTCAGCATATGATGGAAGGCTGGCATCACCAGAGACTTCAGGATCTCCAGCCTTACGAGGACCATCACCACCATCCTCACTTCCAGAGGAAGAGTAGCCTAAACCAAGGCCTTTCTTATCCTCATCATCATCACTTGCATCATCTTCTCGAGCCCATTTCGATATAGGCAAAACAGGGTCTGATTTCCCTTTCTTTATTGCAAAAGCTTTCAGCTCAGGCTGAGGAATGGGTAGTGTTGGAGTCATTGATGATGATGGCGCTTTGCTTTGTGACCTGAAAACCTCTTCCCCATAATGTGACCATGGCTCGGCCCCACTGTTGGTTTCTTTTTGCCCTGCATCACACACATTCCAAGTACTCTCTTCCCTCGAATACCTCTGCCCATATCTCAAGTCATCATCACGATCATGGCTTTTTTGCTTTTCTGCCTCCTCTAGACTAAGCAACCTTGCAACCATCATCTCTCTTCCACCACAAAGAGACAAACCATTGTGTCGGCACCTCCTCTCGAGCTCGGTAAGAGGGAGATTTAGTAGCTCTTTCACAGCAGCTCCCTTCCCCATTGCCAAGGCGGCATCTTGGTTTACTTTGGCTCCTTCACCTGAATCTGTAGAAGTGGTTTTGTTCTCCATCTCTGGTAAATCCCCACATATCGAGTGAAAGGGAATAACCCCTGAATTACTCGATCTAATAAAAGTAGCTCGCAACCCATTCACATATGCATCGGAAAAGAGAAACCAGTCTGACCAGACTTGGAGGACCTTCAATACTCGTTCCTGCATCAAATTCCAAAATCACAAGCAACAACATCTTGTAATCAACAGAATTGACAAAAATTAGTCTGAAAAGTAGTACAAGAATCCAGCTTACTAACCCAAATAAAGTAAAAAAAAAAAAACCCCGAGCTATGGCGCACACCTTGAGGGCTTCGGCGGTGATCCTTCCAGTGATGCTACGGTACAGGTCATTGAAGCTCTCCATGATATCAGGCAGGGTTGCTTCGAACTTGGTACGATATGCGGAGGCATTTTTTACTGGAGCACTGCTGTTGTGGAGGATATCAGAGACGAGCATAAGCCTGGCTACTTTGGTTGGTATAAGTGTTTCTTTAAGAGTCAATGACTCCGTGAGAACCTCAACCACCTATAAAAGCATGAAACAAACATGTTAAGGCCAATAGCCAAGCAGATAACTGAGGAAAATCAAGCATATTAATCCTATCTTCGTGCTACATAAGAAATGAAAATTGTCAAACTACAGAGTACCTCTCCAGCAGCATCGGCATTATCTAAAGCAAACCCCATTGCCTCTTTTATCTGACTTCTCTCCAAGGTCAAAGCCCGAAGCATATCCTCAAACTGATCTCTCTGCGGATCGGTCAAAGTCCTTTCTAATTCCACCCTCTAGCACAACCCAACGAGAACTTGTATATCAAATTGGAACTACTCAACAATGTAAACTGTATTTGGTGATCCAATTGTGGTAACAATCTAGTCATAATAAAAATGTAAAACAGGAGTCCAGAAAACTCAAAAACTTCATGAAAGGTCCTTCTAAGGAGAATGTTTTAATAAATGAGGCCACTTACTCTGCTTCTTCCCGCCGCCGCAAATGTCGTGCCCGATTCTTTCTCAAGCTCTGGACTCTTGCTAATAGGCAAAGGTGGAGGTATCCATCTATAAAAACATAGAAAGAATTATGGTGGAAATAATAATAATAATGGAAGCCAAAAATCATATAAAGTTCATTGTTATGAAGGAAACAAACACTGACATCATCAATTAACTTTAGTTTGCAGAAAGCCATAAAAGGTGGAGAACAAATAGAAGTCAGTTTCACTAACCTCCCACTACCGGTTATCATGATGAAAGGCTCTGTACGCCACCTCTGAAGAGTATCCCCCTGAATTTCCATAAAACAAAATACCCATCAGACTAGAAACGTAGCCAGATCCTTTTGTGTCAGATGCACATTGGCACGCCTCAGATGCCAAACTGACGAATGTGCATAGTATTTGGAAAGAAAATAATCTTCGAATAATGACAAAAAATACTTCCCAATCATAACCAAGCACGACAAGGATCATATGACTTGTCTACCAAAATGTGAGGAGGAATGATTACACGTACCTGTGCAAAGGAGTACAATCTCCAGACATAGTATGTATGCTCCTTAGATCCAAGTTCGAATAAGAAATTAAACAAAGGATTACCACGACCCCTCTCCATGATAGCTTGTTCAAATGCACATCCATCATCAAGCACATGCATAGCCATGGTATCAATTACATGGCGCAAGTGATCGTCATCAGGTGGAACGACCGTTATATCAGGAATATTTGGGGTAAGCACCTAAAACATCACAATATAGTTTAATTAAAACATCAAACTCCAGTTAATAAGGAATTCATATACATGAATACACAATCAGAAGAATAAGCCAATAAATCCATAGAAAGCATCATCAGAAATGCATGGGTTTGCTAGTAAACAAAACGAAGAATCTTAGTTTACCAACTTTAGGCAAGAAAACAGTGAGCAAAGAAGGAACAACATCACATGCTAACGTACAACTATGCCCCGCACATAATGGAAGGATTTGTTTCTACCAAGTTCACCATGAAACACACAACAAAGGACAAAAGACTATCCAAAGGTCAGATAAATGAACATAAAATTAGATATGTAACAGTTTTTGGTAACTAGTATCAATATATGGGTAACATTCAACCAAATTCAATCTTCTCGACATCCATGATGTTCCCCAAACCAACTCGCCTTCCCCCATCTTCTTTTTCTAAATCACCATGCGCAGACGCTTGATGCATTGCAAACCATTCCATGTAAACTACCAGAAATAATAATTTGGTTCAATTTCAATTAAATATACTCACCAATTCAGAGGATTGACTTGTCATAGAAGTCACAGGAGGACCTTCAGGACCGGACAATATGACAGTTGCACCCTGCAATATATAGCTAACGATATCATCATAATGCAGGCATCAACAAATAAGCAAGTCACTCTGCACACAAATCATAAGAAATCGCCCAAAGAAAAGTGACACTGTTTTATCTGTTAATAGCTGTTTTATCTGCTAGTGTGGTATCTCCCACTTCTACACACCCAAAGTAGCACAAAATAAAGACAATGACAGCTTCCAAATTCACATACATCCTTATTTCTGATGGCCATTTGACCTGGTGGAGGAGCAGGGAGGGCTTGTGCTGGAAGTGAGACAGACTTGCCCCATCCTATCTTCAGTTCGTATTCATAAACAACCACCCCTGCAATCAGCAAACGACATGATCAAAAAGTTCTTCGAAATAGCAGAAATTCATTTGAGTACTAGAAAAAAGAAAATGAGAGGTACAGTGTTTTTTGCTCTTCTTCTTTTCTTTTTCTTTTTTTTTTTTGGATAAATTGTGATCAGTTTAGGAACACAATTACTTTGTGGGCTCGTGTCCTTAATCATCTCTGGGATTAGAAGACTTAGTTCCTCAGAGAGCTTTTTCTCTTTTTAATGGCAATTAACGCAGCAATTGTGGAACTTCTAGCATGGCGAAAAATGGTTTTGCAAACACCATGCACTGGATCGGAGATAATCCAAAACAATACTACAAGTCACAAATCCTAAGGAACTACCATCGAAATTAATGATCACAACACCATACAGAGGGTCCCTCGACACCACTACTAAGCAACAATGAATGCCTCAATCACTCTCCAACGTGACACTGGATTTTTCATCCTTAGTCCTGAGAAGAAATCAAGCCATAATACACATTTTAATGCACTCCACAACTTGCATCCTCCCTACAGAAATGCCTTTGCAGAAACCATTCCTTCTCACTATGAACATGCCCTGAAAGATAGACATTGGGCAGCATCTCCACAGAAAAACATCCAACCAGAAAGCCAAACTAACAATAAGTGATGGTGGAAATTCCGGAATAATTTTTACTCCTAGAGGAAACACATCAGCAAAAAGAGCATGATCAACCATATATTGAAGTCACTAAGACATTACACCAAAAGGAAAAAAAATGGAAACAAGGAACCATGTATGGCAATGTTCAAGAAGGTTCTTCTTTGCCATGCTGATCTGACAGGGATATGGATATGAGCAGCTGACATGGCATGGGGCCCCATGCCATTAAAAAGGTCATACGAGTGCACAATCTCAGGCGCGTACACACATGATAATGATAATAACATCATCAAAAAACTATAATTAAGAAGTGAAAAGGCCCAATACAGTTTCGATATTTTATTTCAAGGCAAAAAGGAAGTACCAAGACAAAATATGAAACACAAGCACATCGTAACATTAATCACATAATACTAGAATATAATCCGCATATGGCTTGCTCCCACAGGAGCAAATTGCACAGCTATTCCTTAGGAAGAGCACCCACTTGGGAGGATTTTTCTTATCTGAAATTTTGGAATCATCTTAGAACCACCAGATGAACAATTTCAGGACGAAAAAAGGATTTAGAATTCCTAAACACCTAGATCTGACGATCTGAAGATGGCTTGTGTTCCAATTTTTACAATTTGGGGTCCGCATTCAACCTTTTTTTAGGTTGGTTCCTAGGTTGAATAGGTTACAGCCCCAAATTCAAGGCTCAAAAAAAAAAAAAAAAAAATCCTAGCAAACTTCTTGCCCAAGGGCCCAGTATATAATGTGCTCCTGTAGGAGCACAAATTTTAATCCTGTAATGATACTGAGATGAAAAATTTATTTAAAAAGGGATGAGAAAGTCCAAACTGGTTTATGAACATTTTTTGTACAGCACATATAGCGTCCTCCCTAAGAAGCAAGCTATAGATCCCTTGGGCAAAATACCTAATTAGGAGGATCTTCTAGCTCTGAAATTTAGATGTACTTTAGAATCACCAGATGGTATTTTCAAGGGTAAAGAAGGATTTCCTCAACCTCAACTTTTGATACTCGCTTCAGAATCATTGGATAGAGTATTTTAAAAATAAATGGATTTTGAGTTCCAAACACTAAGATCTGACCATCCAAAATTTGATGCCCTATGTTCAATTTTAGGACCTTTTTTAGGTATGTATAGAGAGTGTACTTGTCCTTTTTGAGGTCGGTCGCTGTGTTGAGGACGTTACAACCCCCAAATTTGGGGCCCTAAAAATACTCCATAGGTACAATACCAGTCTTTTTTTTTTTTGAGAAAGGTTAACATTGTAATTAAGTGGTAAGAATACATTTGACTATAACCTAAAGAGGGCGCTCAGACAAACAGAAGTAGTAAGAGAAGGAGGAGAAAGAGGGAGAGGTAAAAAGTCAAAAAAGAATAAAAAGATTTACAACAATAGAAGTGATCGGAGTTCAACAAACACCCAAAAAGTTCTCTATCCAGGTTTTGCTTCCAACCGCCGAGCTTTAAATTTCCTTCAAAAGCTAAGCGACTGACGTTCTGACGTGCTTCCTTTGCTAGGAGAGGGAGTAGCTCGTAGAGGAAAAAAAGGGGTGGTGTTGGTGAGGTTGTAGGGATGTGGAGACAAGATAGACAAAAAACAGAGGTATTGTGGAACAAAATGGGAGCTCCGGCTAATAGTGAGGGGCTATCCAGCAGACCTTCCACACCCAAAAAGCCTTTGAAACTGATAGGGGCTGTAATTTTTCCCCATTATCCGAATTCTATTTTCCCCAAAATTGTTGGTTACCTCTGTTTCGTATCTATCTTGGTTTTTCCCTAAAAAACCATCACACCTCTATTCCGACCATCAAAGGAGGAGCCTCCAAATGTGAGATGAAGTCTCAAGTCAGCTATCAAGAGGTGGCAGAAGTATGAAGAGAATAAGAGAAGAGAGGAGAGAACTGGGAGAGATAAGAGGGAGAGAAGAAGAGACGAGAGGAGAGAACTGGGAGAGATAAGAGGGGGAGAGGTAGCCTCAGTTGCGAGATTGCATCTCTGGTCAATTGTTAGAGAAGAGAGGCGAAGAACGAATAGAAGAGATGAGAGGAGAGAATAGAAGAAAGGAGAGGAGGAGAGAGAGTACATAGAGTACTCAAAGCAAGAAGAAGGGGGAACTAGAGAGCATGCAGAGGAGAGAAAAGGTCTACCGAGAGAGTTTTAGCTGCTAGCAGCAGCGAGATGCAATCCCTGGTCAGCTGTTAGAGAAGAGAAGAGAAGAGAAGAAGGGATAGAAGATAAGAAGGGATAGATGCAATACCAGTCTATTGATTCAAGGATAGTTTGACAGAACTGCTTTTTATAGAGTATTTATATATGAGCACGTATACTGGATTATGTAGGAACATATTGTATGCTTACTCTTATAGGTGAAAGAGCCACGTAAGAGGATTTTTTAATTTTGAAAGATAGGGATCCAAATAGAAACCACAAATTGATTATTGTCAAAAAGAAGAACGGATTTCAAGTTCTTCAGACTTTTTCTTCTTTTTTTGGGCAAAAATTTGACTTGTATTAAGGGAAGAAAGACAGTAGAAAAAATAGCCCCCAAAAAAGGTGCAGTATACAAAAATCACCAAGGTGGTGAGTTAATTACAAAAAATGCTATATGTCCACTATGAAACGAAGGAATTAAGGAGGCCACTAATCTGCAAAAAATGTTAGTGGGTTTCTCTCCTAGACAAAGACGTTGCACACCCTCATTCACGAGGGTATTAGCGATAGAGTTGGCCTCTCGCCAAATGTGTCCAGTAAATGTGAATGAGCCTAGCGACGTCCAATATTTCATCAAAAATGTAAGCCAGCCTCCATGGGTGGGCGACAAATCCTCAGACCCAAGAAATGATAGACTTGGAGCCTCCTTCAGTGGTGAAGTGGTCATCCCACACAGACCTGGACGCTCTCAAACACTCAACCAGTGCAAGGGCTTCGACAGTGATGCTATCAGCAATTCCAATAGATTTTGAGTAGGATAAGACGGTATTGCCAAAATTGTCTTTGTAGATTCCCCCAAACCCCAGCTCCCTGGGTTACCTAGAGAGCAGCCATCAAAATTTAGTTTGACCCATCCATGTCTTGAAGGTCTCCAAAGTTAGGCTCGATAAACCCAAGTAACAGTGACATGGCTCAATGTTTGCCAATTCAGCAGGAAGTCCGAAGAGGAGTAGGATTGAAAGGGTTTGTGGTTTTTGACCCAAAAAAGGACTATGGCTTTGATGCGCTCCATGAGGCCCTATATAGAGGTTCTCTCTCCTCTGAAAATTCTATGATTGCGCTCATTCCAATGACCCACAAAGTGGCAGATACAGAAGCCTTCCAAAGCATTGCCCCTGGTTTTGGCCAGGGCAGGAAATGGGATAGGTTGAACAGGGCTGCGACAGTCAGTGGAGTGATCCAAACCCACCTGAAAAGTTGTAATACACTCCCCAGAGGTTCTCAGCCACTAGACAATGGAGAAAGAGGTGTGTTAGTCTCCTCTTCACAGTAACAGATAGCGCAACGGTTGAGTAAGAGCATGCCTCTCTTTCGGAGGTGATCCACTGTCAATACCCTCTGGTATAAGGCTTAGATCCCACCTTGCAAAAAATTACAGTCTTTATTCAATCTTGGGACTTTCTTTTTTCTAGGCACATAATGAATGCGATTTTTTTCCTTTTTTTTTTTCTTGTTTTTTGTTGCTCTCCTCGTTTTTGTTTTTTTGGGGGGGTGGGGGGTGGGAGGGGGGGGAGGGGGAGGATGAGGTTTGCCACTAGGTTGAAGAGGTTGCATCCCAAAATTTTAACAGCACCCCTTTATTGGGTTTACCCCAAGGGAGTAAATGGAGTCTCCTGCAGGAGCATAGAACCTTTTGACTTTGTATATCTCAGTCAGTTGTATGTATATATCAGATCAACCCCTTATTTTCATCGCTGAGAAATCTACACAAGTTTACTAGTTCTAAAATGGTATCAGAGTTAGGATTGAATTAAAAACTTAGATCTGTCTAGTATCAGCAAATCTGGATCAAAAAGTTCTTAGTTCTGGACTCTAAACCTTGGATCCATGACAACATTAAGAAGATCAATTCTGTATCAGCAATCTATCTATTGCAGCAGTACTGCATCTGCATTATACTGGAACTGTATTGGCACTGGAGAACTGTGGCAAATAATGCAGCAGTTGTAGCAATGGCACCATAAATTTCAGGGTGTTTGAAGGAGAGTGGCTTCACGAATAATTAGGATTCCATGGATCATTCAAACTTCCTCAGATCCACAAGTACAACTCTGTTTTTTCCAAGGTTCTAGGCAACAGTTCAGTTCATTCTTACATCCTTGTCAATCTCTTTTAATTGTGGAACATGGAATCATCTGAAACCCATATCAGTAAATCAAATGGAATGAATATTGAGAATCACCACAAATAAATTGTTCTTCATACACCATTCCCAGTTGCAAGTTCCTCCACATACTTTTTGCCCTAAGGCGCTATAAAACGAGGCACACTTCAGCAGGTTCTCCAAGCACTTTGAGTGCAATAATATCAGATTCAGTTAGCTTTGGCCGAAACCACTCTATTCTCTTCTTTAGACCCTAAACCAAGCAGAGCAAATCAATCACCTGCTAACTGAATATATTCGTAATTTTTTTTTAAAATACCCCTAATATTTCCAATTTTAAAACATATATGCTAATTATATACAAAGCTTAAAACGATTGCATTCTTAATATTCATAATCTTATAAAATCTTTGTTGAAACTTTAAAGTTCCTAAATGTACATACTCCTTTAGTCTTAAAAGAATAAACCCAAAAACCTTCCCTCAAAACTGCCAAATAGCCCAAGTGGTTCCCTTTTCCCGCCAAAACAAGGTCTTCGAAGTGAATCTAGTAACATTGCTTCGAGGACATTCCTTGTCAAGGAACCTAAATACATCATCCAGATCTTCTAAGTCTGTCTGGTTCCTCGACTCTGACGCAACTCGACCCATGACTGGGAATGTCAAATTAATATCCTCGCCAGTTTATTTTGGAGGTAACAGTTCCCCTACACTTTCAATGGTTCTAAACTCAGTCCCAGCAAAGTAGGATCAGTTAATACTCATCTGTTCGTCAGTTAGTAGATCAAAAATTACTTAGTTTGGTTTATTCATGATATTGCCTAACATTGGTTATCTCAACAAGGAAGCTGATTGGGAGAGGTCATAAAGCACATCAAATCTTATGCCTAGATATTTTTTTTGGAGCCTGCTAATCACAGTTCATGGTTACAGTTGTTTCACATTCGTCTCTTTGTACTTGGCATCTCTGGTGGTTCTAATAGGCTCAAGAAGTAGTTTTAAGTCTAAAACTATTCCTTCTTCTTCATGAAGTTTTTTTTAAGAATTTCAATAATGACTTAGACTATTATACGTGTAAATTGGTCAAACTGTCAACATTGCCCTTTCCTGTTTTTGAAAATAGAAGAACATATTTGATGTTGTTCATTCTGATGTGTGAGTCCTCCAGTTTTATCCAAAATCGGTTCCTAGTATTATGTAATTTTTGAGGATGATACCTCTCATCATACATCGGTGTATTCCCTGAAAAACAAGTCCATTGTCTGTGATGTGTTTGCCACCTTCTACAAAATGATTCAAAACCATCTTGAAAGAGACATCAAAATTCTCAAGAATCAGCCGTATGGTGAACACCTATCTCAGAAAAGACATTTCAGTGATAATATTATCATTCAACAAGCACATGTCCACACACCCCAGAACAAAATGGGTTTGCCAAATGGGGTTGCAAAACATAAGAACCACATTATAAAGACCACATGTACATCACTTCTACAATCCATTGACCCTAATGGTTTGTGGGCAGAACCTATTCCGAGTGTTGGTCATCTAATTGCAGCTATCAAATAATAGGATTTGTGCAAGCATGTGGTGAGATTCTTTTTATGAGGTAGCCATTTACGGCCCCAATAAAGGTCCTTGCGCTTGGTTTGAATGTTTTAGACTAGTTTTCGTTAGAGGGGTTCACTCAATGCTCTACAGATCCTTGTACGTGCATCATTCAAGAGAGAAGAAAGGTTGCAGTTAACTAGTCGATGTAGATGGCATAGTTCTCACAGTTGATCATACAAAATATTTCTCAGATGAGATATATTTTACAGCAATAATTTCAGATGAAAGACAAGGGCCTTTATCATATTTTCTTCAGTTAGAGAATTCTCGATCTGCTTGACGCATCATGGTTACTCCATAAGTATGCCTGTGATCTTTTCTCCTGAGCCCACCTCACTAATTTGAAGATTTTAATAACCCAACAGAACTTGATGTTCCATTATCTCCATCTGATGGGAACCCACCATACAGTCCAAATATACAGTGGCAGTTAGAAGGTTGTTCATCCCGATTACCAGACAAGAAATCAGATATGCAGTTCAATCTGTTAGCATGTTTGTTCAAGGTCCTCAATAAGCTCATATGATTGCTGTTCACTGCATCATTCAGTATATTCAGTCTACACTTGATTGTTATCTTTTTCTCAGTCACCTCGGACATTCAGCTTGTCCATATGCTGACTCAGATGGGAAGGTTGTTTAGATGGTCAAAAATCAATTATAGGATATTGTATTTAGTGATGCAAAGAACACAATGTGGTTCCAAAATCAGGTCTCGAAACTAAATATCATGCTACATCTATATTTTTTATAGGACACTTGCAATTAACTTATTTCTTTCTGCTATAGGTGTTTGTACTTCATCTCCAATGTCACTCCATGGTGATAATGTCAGTGCTACAAGGATTGCCACTAATCATGTATTCCATGATGGAGCCAAGCACATAGTTACCGGGAATGGGAACGTGAGAAGTTCTGGGAACAGGAACAGGAACGGGAAAAGGAGCGCGGAGCGAGTCTAGGTCAGAGTTCCCTAGGCGGCAGAGCGAGCTTCGAACATGGCCTGGGGATGGAAGCAAGTCACATGACTTCTAGGGAGCACATTGCTATCTGGATGGGAGCGAGTTCCCTACTAAAAGGGATCGTATTGTGCCATTCTTAGGAACGGGGTTCCGAAATTCACTATTTTCATATATTGTAAACTGAGAGTGAGTTCCATTAGAGAGCATGTTTAACTCTTTCCAAATCCACGGTTCCAAGGTATCAATGACATAAAAAATGATGGCATTGAGATAGCCTTTGAATTTTTTTTGTCATTGGTGCATAATTTCATACCGAATTCAGCAAACAACAGTACTGGGGTGCATTGGAGCAGGATTTCATACAAAATTCAGTGAAAAACCTTATTGTGATGCATTGGAGCATGATTTCACACCAAATTCAGTAAACAACATTATTGTGGTACAGTGCATCACTAAACCTTAATTATACAATACACTTCTCTAAATTGGCACTCGATGCTGGGCAATATTTACCCAGGATGGACTAGACTTCCATTTCGACTAAGTTTGTAATCGACGATTGAGCACATATATTGTGCTCATGCACGACCATATTAGGTTCAATGGAAAATGTGTGCGTCGTAGAAAATTTGAGGAAAACCAAATACTATGTATGAAGGAAATAACTTCGTAGGTGTAGCTCGCTCCCATAGTATAGGATACTCGGTTCTTGGTATGTTGGAATCATAGTTCCGAATGATATTGGATCCATGATCTTGGGCATGCGGATCTAGATCCCACTAGGGAACTCGTTCCCAAATAATAGGGATCGAGTTTCCATAACTACAAATACAAGATCCAAATACGCAAGGAAGCGTCTGGAATCAAGATCCGGTCACTCGGAGTGCGGGATCGAGATTCCAAAACAAAAGTGCTCCCGGTAACCATAACCAAGCATATTGAGGCCGACTGTTATTCTGTTAGAGGGTGGGTGCCTCGTGATCTTCTCACCCTCCTCTACATTCCTTATGAGGACCAACTTGTTGATTTATTACCAACACACCTACTACAAGGCTATATGATTAGCTTGTGAGCAAACTGTCACACAACATTACTAAATGCACCAGTTTGAGGGGGTGCTTAGATGTATGATGTCGTTTTAGTTCATGAAATTAGTCTATCGATTCAGGGACGATTTTGTCATGACAGTTGTATAGGGATATTTTTGCATGTCGTATACACAAGTCAGACGTATATATGGGATAAATCCCTTCTTTTATTTTTAAGAATTTTGCAGAAGTTTCTTTGATCCCAATAAGTGTTCAACATTAGTCTTGTTAATTCATCAAGCAATCAAAGCCACACAACATATGAAAAACAGAAGATTCCAGAGGCAATGCCGGCAAGATAAAAATTGCATGGTATAAACAATGTTCGAAAATTCAGCCGCCCAGCCGTCCTAGGCGAAAAAATTTCAAAAACGCCTAGGCGCTAGTTAGACGAAGCTATTAGGCGGCCAGCATCTGGGATCCCACCCAGAGGGGCAAGGCGCCACCTCGAGACAATTTGGAAAAAGGCAGAAAAAAACTTGGCAAGGGTCCTGTTACTTTTCCTCTAGAAAAAAGGGGAAAAAGGGTTTTGGGGGATAATCCAAACCCAAAAACCAAAACCGTTCCCTTTAGAGAGAATGATTTATCGAAAGATCAATAAATTATCGATTTTTTTTATTTCTTCCCAAAACAAAGGAGATAGTTTGTGGGTGTTTTTGGGGCTTCTAGTAGTCGATTTTGAGGACTTTTGGTGACCCAATAGATGAGGTTTGCATCGACATTGATTTGATTTTGATATTTTTAAAGTACTATCATATTTGAATAAGGGTTTTGATTTGAATTTGCTATAACGTATTATGTTGTGAATCATTTGTTTTTTCTTTTACCCTTTTTTTTCTTCTACGATATATTTACATGGTTGTAGTTGAAAGAATGAATTTTTTTGTGATTAATTCAATTTTTCCTCACTCGGACGATGAAATTGCGCATATTTCGTATTCTTTTATAAATAGTTGATTCCTTTTTGTTCAATGTGTCATGCTTTGATATTCTATTATTTTTACATCTTATATAGTCATTTAAGACTTACTGTAAAACTAAGTCTTACTGTTTTAAAACTAGCATCTTAATGACGTTATATACCTTAATTATGTGATACCTTAATGAGTTAAGTCTTAAGGGTACCCTGTTCCTGGGCAAGCACCTAGGTGGGGCACCTGCGCTTTCTTGAACATTGGGTATAAACTGCATTTCAATTGACAGGTAATATCACAATACCAGCCAACTCTTTATTTTGGATACATAACCTGCCAGCACCTAAGTGCATGGGTTTTACATATTGATCAAGAGAAAATTCCAGAAGGCATACCTTGCATCTCATCCTTTGCAGCCTGACCATCTGCTCTATTCATGAAAGCAACAAATCCACAATTTCTTTGCCGCCTCCGCTCTTCCTCTGTTCGAGGCCACATTATCTTCACACTGGCAATAGGCCCAAATCTACCAAATGTCCGAAGAAGAAAATTCTCATCCACCTAATAAAGCTCAGTCAATATATCAATTAGGTATGAGAAAAGAATTGTGGCAACAATTTTAATATAGGGATACAGGACCCATATAAATAAAATAACTAATATATAAGGAAGACCATGACAACGAGCAATTGCTACCTGTGGTGAAAGATTTCCGACATACAAATTCGTAGTTTGAGGATCCCCATCATCAAATGACCCAGGAAGCTTTCCACTGGGATCCAGATCATCAGGCAGCTCATCAAAACGACTAGTTGGCTGCTGAGAACAGAAAAACTACGTTGAAAATATATGACATTAAAATTTCAAAACCCAGGCAATGCCATAAACAGGATGGACAACCATTCTAACTAATTTATCGTTAAGGAGCTTGCATATATTGGGGTTACACAAAATCAAATTATAGTGAACAAATCAAGGAGAAACTTGCTGAGGAGTAGTTCCCAAACATCAAATCAGTAAAACCAGGGTTTGAAAACTCGCAGAGCCGAGCCGGACTCACCCGGTTCGACTGGGGAATCGTCTGCTATCGAGCCGGTTCCACTAAAAAATCGGGAATCGCCGGTGTACAGAGAGAACCAGGAGATTCCCAATAGTAAATCGCAGTAATTTTTGGGTTTACACGTGGCCGCCTCACAGGAGCAACACGTGGCACCTAAAAAACCTCCACACGTGGCAACTCACCTCACATGTCTGCCCCCTCGCTTTTCTACACGTGTAATGTAATATCTATTGCACGGGACTTTATAGAGAACAAAGCGACGCTCATCCTTCGATGTGGGATAATTCCCACAAAAAATCATTAAAGCAAAACGATTGAATATATATTATTATAGAAGCTAATAAAATCACATTAGACGACGTGGCGTGTTGGTTGAGAACTCCGATTTTTCGATGGGACGTCTTGGGTTCGAACCCCTTAGCGCCCGTCGTCATTTTTTTGTTGTCAAAAAAATAAACAAAGGCAGAAAATACTGCTGTAAAAAAATAGAAAAAATAAAAAATAAAAGGCTTTTCAAGATAAAGATAAAAAAGATAATACAACATTTCTTTATTTTTCTTGTAAAAAAATACAAGGTAATATAATAAGTATTTCTTGCAAAAAAATAAAACAAAAGGCATAAAAAAATAAAATGTACTTTGGCAGCATCATTTTTTTATTTTTCTTTTAAAAACAAATAAAAAGTAATACAACAAGCAAAAAAAAATGTAGTACATCTTCTTCTTTTGTCAAAAAAAAAAAAAATGATAATCAACAAGTATCATAGTTTTCTTGTAAAAAAAAATAAAAGATAACACAATAAGTATTTCTTGTCAAAAAAATAAAAGGTATTTCTTAATACAACCTAGGAATAAATGGTCTAATTATATTTTTTATTTTTATAACATGATGGTCTTTAAAATAAATTTAGTAATATTAATTTAAAGATAGGATTCATACAATGAGGCCATTTGAAATCTCTCTCTTCTACTAACAATCTCTTCTACTAATTTATTCTAGAAACCTAAAAAATTAAAGAAAAATTGGTACGTATTCTAATAATTTCTACATTGATAACCA